TAAAGTGGCCCCCCAGAAAACCCAGGAGATGTTATTTCATCGCCGGGGTAAGGGGAAGCCGCGAAAAGCCCGGGTCCTGGTCGATGGTGTCCGCGTCCGCGTCGGGCCCACGATAAAGTATCTGGGCCTGACGTTGAACAGCCAATGGGGCCCGGGATGGCGGGCTCGCCGCCTCTACGTCGGAGTCGTGCACTCGGTCGCCCTCTACGGGGCGCCCATCTGGGCGCCACGGCTACTGGCCACCGGCCGCAATAAAAACCTGATTCGTCAGGCGATGCGGCCGGTGGTCATGAGAGCGATCCGGGGGTACGCCACCGTATCGTACCTGGCGGCGACCACCCTGGCCGGCTCCCCCCCAGTGGAGCTCCTCGCTGAGGAGAGGTTTCTCCTTTATTGGCGAGTCAAGGAGCTCCGCGGAAGGAGGGAGGGACTATCGGTCAGGGACCTGAAGGCCCTGAAGGCCCAGGCCTGTGCCCGAACCCTCGACAAGTGGTCCGCCGAATTGGCGGACTCGCGAGGGTTCGGGCGCTAGACGACCGAGGCTGTCCGCCCCTGCCTGCCAGAAATGGTGGGCAGGAGGGGACGCGGACTGTCCTTTCACCTGGTGCAGATCCTAACCGGACATGGATGTTTCGGGAGGTACCTGCACAGGATAAGAAAGGAACCCACCACCGAATGCCACCACTGCCCGGGAGTGCGTGGATTCGGCGCAACGCACGTTGGTCTCGTGCCCCGCATGGGACCAGCAGCGCCGAGACCTGGCCCGGGCAGTGGGGTGCAGGGGGAGGCCCTCTCGCTCCCGCGCATGGTTCGCGCCATGTGCGGCAGCGAGGAGGTGTGGGGGAGACGGACTCCTTCTGCAAGGACATCATGTCTCAGAAGGAGGCCGCCGAGTGGGAACGCCCCCCCTCCGACCGTCCGAGGAGACGGCGGAGGGGACGGGGCTCCCCAGGTTTAGGTAGCGGGCCCGAGGTGGCGCCGGCCGAGGGGGAGCAACGATCCTCGGACAACCGGGGATCGCTCCCTCGGCCGCCTCGGGCCCGAATGCGGACGCGCGGGGGAGGGTCGTCGGGGGGAGGGGTGTAAGCCCCCCTCGGCCTCCCCCGGGCGTCGGCGAAGTAGGGAAGGGGAGAACGAGGCCCTCTGGGAAAGGGTCTCGTTCCCCCGCCCCCTCCGGAGTGAAATCAATCCTCGAAGAGGGGGCGGGGAGGAAGGGTGGGTGTCCCCTCTCTCCCGTACAATACCGGAAGGCCAACCCGATCGGCACGTCGATCGGGGCACCGCGCCCGGACCCTCTTCCTGCAGAGGATCTACACGGCCGCGGTACTTGGGCGTGGGGCTCCGCTAGAGACCTGGGACCGGGGTGTCGGGGAGAGAATGCTGGCGCAGTTCCCCTGACTCCCCCATCTCGGTCCGACTGGTAGACATCCCGCAGGGGTTTTAGTGAGTAAGAGTCTCACATAATCTCCTGCCCCTCCCAGGGGGCGGGGGGGTACCCATGATTGGTTTCCCTTGCGTTATAAAAAAAAGGGATTTCGGCCTCTACCGCCTCGTCCAGCACATGTCCTCGGAGGGGCCGGATCTCCACGGCCGTCAATACGGTTTCAGGTCCTAGAGGTCGACGCTGGATGCCGTCCAGTACCTCCGGGACCTGACCGCGACGGTCGTGAAGAGAGAGGGCGGGGTGTTGTTGACGGTGTCTCTCGACATCAAGAACGTTTTCAACACCCTGCCCTGGCCGGAGGTGGGGCGGGCCCTCGAGTACCACGGGGTGCCCGCCTACCTCCGGCGCATATTGGCGGCCTACTTCGAGGGCAGAGACCTCGCTTTCAACAAAGAAGGCGGGGTTCTAGGTCGGCGCGCAATGGAGCGCGGTGTTCCGCAGGGGTCGGTGCTCGGCCCTCTGCTATGGAACAACGCGTTCGACCCGGTGCTGCGAACTCCTCTCCCCCCGGGCTGCCATATCGTCTGCTACGCGGACGACACCTTAGTGGCAGCAGAGGGGAGGAGCTGGGGGGAAGCTCGCCTCTGCGCAGAGGCTGCTGTGGCATCGGTGGTGGGAACCATCGAGGGCCTGGGACTGAAGGTGGCGTCCCAAAAGACTGAAGCCGTGTTCTTTCACGACGGCAGTCGAGGGGCGCCACCCGAGACCCAGGTCCTAGTAGATGGCGTCCGCATCCGCGTCGGGCCGACGATTAAATATCTCGGCCTGACGTTGGACGGCCAGTGGGACTTTGGCCCGCACTTTAGGGATCTGGCCCCCAGGGTGCGCAACGCGGGACTGGCAGTCGCTAGTCTCCAGCGCAACCTTGGGGGTCCAGGATGGAGGGCTCGCCGCCTATACGCGACGGCCGTTCTGTCGATCGCATTATGCGGGGCGCCAAACTGGGCGCCCCAGCTCAGCGCCTGCCGAGAGGGCCAACGAAGGCTGAGGCAGGCGTTGAGGCCAATGTTTATAATGATGTCGAGATCGTACAAAACGGTCTCGTACATGGCGACGAGCACCCTGGCCGGCTTCCCTCCCGTGGAGCTCATTACGGAGGAGCGCAGAGTTCTCTATTCTCTCTAGGAGGATAAAAGAGCTCCGCGAGGAGGGGGTCCTTAGAGCCATGGATGAGCGGGCCTTAAAGTCTCAAGCCGTGGCTCCACGAGATGTGGGCGGACAAATTGTCCGACCCACGGGGATACGGGCGCCAGACGGCGGAGGCCGTCCGCCCCTGCCTGCCAGAATTGGCAGGCAGGAGGGGATGCGGATTGTCCTTTCATCTGGTGCAGACACTGACGGTGCAGGTGCAGACGGGCCATGGATGTTTTGGCAAGTATCCGCACCAGATAGGAAAGGAGCCCACAACCAGATGCCACCACTGCCCCGTGCTCATTGACACGGCGCTCCACACCCTGGCCGCTTGTCCGACCTGGGAAGGGGAGCGCCGTGTCCTGGCCGGGGCCATGGGGTGGCGCGACGGGGACATTTCGCTCCCACGCATGGTGGCGTCCATGTGCGAGAGCGAGGAGGGATGGGAAGCGGCGGCCTTCTTCTGTAGAGGCGTAATGTCCAAGAAGGAGGCCGCCGAGAGGGAGCGCCGGCCACATACAACCCGCCGTCGTCGACGACGACGTGGCCGGCAACCCGGAGGGGGGGACCATTTAGGCGGGTCCGAGGAGACACCGGCTGAGGAGGAGGAAGGAGCCCCGACTAGCGGGGGTCCAAGACATCCTCCTCGGCCGCCTCGGGCCCGACTCCGTCGGCAGGGGGGATCCGGCTCTTTTTCCACCTAGGAAGAAGATGGATCCTGGCCACGGACAGGATAGGTTAGGGGGGAGTGGTGCACGTTTTGGGGCGGGCCCACTCCCCCAAAAACCCCACCTCCCCGACTTTAGGGGAGGGGGTAAGGGGTGAGGGCGGATGCCCCCTCACTCCATAGGTGACACCAGAAGGCCAACCGGTCTGTCCTAGACCGACCGGGACCGCGCCCTGGATTCCCTTTGCGGAACAGGGCGCGGTAAAGGATGGCGAGGGGCTCGGTAACGAACCCTGGGGCCGGGGGTTGGGGAGGGAATACGGGAGTACTTCCCTTGACTCCCCTCCATTCGGTCCGACAGGTAGGCATCCCGCAAGGGTTTTAGTCAGTAAGAGTCTGACATAACCCCTGACCCCCCCAAAGGAGTCGGGGGTATCCATGATGGATTTCCCCTGCGTCACCAAAAAAAAGGGATTTCGGCCCCTGGCAGGTTCTACCATGCCCCGGAGTGGTATGTACTGAGTGACTGGACCAAGAGCGCCCGACTAGGTTGGTTGACCAGTCTTGACCAGACTGATCATAGAGCAAGTGGGAGGAGAATACCATCCCTAGAAGCATTGGACGCCGGTGCTCCGGCAACCAAAACGCATGACCTCCTCAGTACCCGCTCTAGGATGGGGACCCCGTTCTCTGAGGCATTGCACGCCGGTGCTCCGGCAGCCAAAGGAAACGGACCCCTCCCTACCCTCCTCGATCCGACCGTTATGGTCAGTACGGGGTGGAGGGACATGCCCGCACCCAGGGCTCCACCCCATGGGGATCCTCCCCCCATGGTGCCTGGGTAGCGGAGGGGTGCTCCGGGCCGCTCGGACGTATTCCGAGGTCGGGGTCGGGGCACCCTGTCACGTCCCAAGAGGACCCCACTCTCGGAGGCATGGCACTCCGGTGCTCCGAGAGCCAAAGGGGGTGGACCTATCCCTCATCCGTCCCGGTTACGGCTGGGCGGAGGAAGGAACCCACACCAGGGTTTGCACACCGTGAAGGTTTGGAACCCCTCGTGGTACCCGGGGGGTGGAGTGTCTCGGGACGCTCGGACTTATTCCGAGGTCGCGGTCGAGGCACCTTAGGGCGAAGAGGAGAAAGGTCCCCACCTTTGGACGCCGGTGCTGCGGCAGCCAATGAAGGTGGACCTCCCCGCTTTCCCTCATCCGTCTGGCCTAGGTCGAGCGGAAGGAGGAACCCACACCCGGATCTGCACATCGTGGGGGCTAACCCTCCATGGCACCCGGGGGTGGAGGGGTGTCTCGGGCCGCTCGGACGTACTCCGAAGTCTGGATCGAGACACCCTTAAGCGCCAATACAGAGGGTCCCACACCTGGAGGTATGGCATGCCGGTGCTCCGGCAGCCAAAGAGGGTGAACCTCTCCCTCATCTGCCCCGGTCACGGCTAGACGGAGGGAGGAACCCACACCCGGGTCTGCATACCGCGAGGGTTTGGAACCTCTCGTGTACCCGGGGAGTGGAGGGGTGTTCCGGGCCGCTCGGACGTATTTCGAGGTCGGGTCCGGAACCCCTATGTGCTGTGCCCGAGGGAACGCGATCGCATCGCCTTAAAGTGGACCCTCGGGCGGTGCGAGCACGCTGGCTGCCATGGGGGAGGCGTTCCCGGTGGGGTGCGACACCGGTCCCGTCACGATTGTGGAGGTGTACTTGCACTCCCGCAAAAATGAGATCGGTCTTGGCAAATTGCCCCACGTAATGGGGATCCTTGACGAGGTCGGGGAGGTGGTGCGGCAGTGCCACCCCCAACCCGTCGTGGTTGCCGGGGACTTCAACGCCCACTCCACGGTGTGGGGTTGCGGTCCCCGGCAGGGGGATCTCCAGAGGGGCAACGCCGTGATCAGCTGGGCGGCGGCACTCGGCCTCCTGTTGATGAACAGGGGGTCGACCAGCACCTGTGTGCGGCCGAACGGGGAGTCGGTCATTGATCTGACCTGGGCCTCCCCTTCGGCCGCCCGGATCTTCCGGGAGTGGGCTGTGGTGACCGAGGGCGACAATATGTCTGATCACAGATACATTGTCTGTGCCCTCGGTCCCCAAGCCCCTCCGCAGGTGCTGGACTGCCGCCCAAGGGGGGGACCGGGCGTCCCCTCCCCCGAGATGGGCCCTCAGTCAGCTGGACTCGGACATGTTCCGGGCGGCAATCTTCGCGGCCGCCTGGCATCTGGATGAGGTGCCAGGAGAGTAGGACGCCAGCCTCCAAGAAGGGGCTAGGCAACTGGTGGGTATCGTGACGTCGGCCTGTGACGTTGCAATGCCCCAGTCCCATCGCCGTCGGCGCCGGGCCACCTATTGGTGGACGGCGGCCATTGCTGACTTGCGAGAGGCCGCCGCCCAGGCCAAGCGGGTGTACAACCGGGCCCGGCTGAAGGAGGGGGAGGCCGCGAAGGAGAAGGAGGGCTGTCGTCAAGCGCGAAACGCCCTCAAGGCCGCTATAGCCGAGGCGATGGCTCCGAGGCGGGAGTCTGGGAGCAATTGGTGAGCTCCCTGGATGCAGACCCGTGGGGGCGCCCCTACAAGCGGACGGTTGGGAAGATCCGTCCGTGGGCGCCCCCGCCAACGGACCCCCAGGACCTGGAGGGGCTCCTTAACTCCCTCTTTCCGAGGGTGGAGGGGGGTCCCCCGCGGATCCATGCTCCAGAAGATGGGGAGTGGACCTGGGGGTCAGCCCGGAGGAGCTCGCCAGCGCCAGGAAGAGGCGGGGGGCAGGGGCAAAGCCCCGGGCCCCGACGGCATTCCTGCGCCTGGGCTCTCGCCCTTGGCGATCGGAGCATGTCCGAAGTCATAAGGGGTGTAATGAACGGGTGTCTCAGGGACGGAGTCTTTCCCCCAGAGTGGAGGAGGGCCAAATTGGTCCGCCCCCCGAAGGTGAGCAAGATACCCGATGGACCGCCGGCCTACAGGCCGATTTGCCTGCTCGACGAGGCGGGCAAAATGCTCGAGCGCATCGTTGCAGACCGCCTCGTCCAGCATCTGTCCTCAAGTGGGCCGGACCTCCACGACAGGCAATACGGGTTCAGGCCTGGACGATCGACGCTGGACGCGATCCAGCAGGTCCGGGACCTGGCCCGTGCCGTCATGGAGGAGAGGGGCAGGGTGTTGTTGGCGGTATCGTTGGATATCACCAATGCCTTCAATACCTTACCGTGGCCGGAGATTGGATAGGCGTTCAAGCACCATCGAGTGCCTGCCTATCTCCGGCGCATCCTCGCGGCTTATTTTGAGGGCAGGGACCTCGCCTATCCGGTTCAAGGCGGGGTCCAGGGCTGGCGGTTAATGGAACGCGGTGTCCCGCAGGGGTCCGTTTTGGACCCCCTGTTATGGAACATCGCGTTCGACAGGGTGTTACGCTCGCCCCTCCTCCCCGACTACCACGTCATCTGCTACGCGGATGACACTCTGGTGGTAGCCGGGGGGGAGAGCTTGGGGAGGCCCGCCTCAACGCGGAGGTGGCCCTGGCGACGGTGGTGGGCACTATTAGCGATCTGTGCATGAAGGTTGCACCCCACAAGACGGAGGCCGTCTACTTCCACGACGGCAGCCGCGGGACGCCACCGGAGACCTGAGTCATGGTAGACGGAGTCCGCGTCCACGTTGGGCCCACGATAAAGTATCTAGGCCTGACGTTGGACGGCCGGTGGGACTTCAGGGCCCACTTTAGGGACCTGGCCCCACGGCTCAGGAAGGCAGACCTGGCACTCGTCAGGCTGATGCAGACCCAGGGGAGACCGGGTTGGCATGCTCGCCGCCTGTACGTCGGAGTGGTCCTGTCGATCGCCCTCTATGGGGCGTCAATATGGGCGCCCCAGCTGCTGGCCACCGCCCAAGGCAAAAACCTCATGCGCCAGGCGCTGAGGGCGGTGGCCGTGAGGGCGATCCGAGGGTTCCGCTCCGTGGCGTACGTAGCGACGATACTGGTCGGCTCCCCCCCCGGTGGAGCTCCTTGCGGAAGAAAGGTGCATCCTGTACTGGAGAAACAAGGAGCTCCGCGAAAGGGGGAGGCAACGACCGGGGAGCTGAGAGCCCTGAGGTCTCAGGTGGTTGCCCGGACTCTGCAGCTGGGGGAGGATGCGATGTCCGCCCCGCGGGAGTTCGGGCGACTAACGACGACGGCCGTCCGCCCCTTTTTTTTGTTCACGCAGGGGAAGTCCATCATGGATACCCCCGCTCCCTTGGGGAGGGGTGGGGGTTATGTCGAACTCTTACCGACTAAAACCCCTGCGGGATGTCTACCTGTCGGACCGTGAGGAGGGGAGTTAGGGGAACTGCTCCCGCATTCCCTCCCCAACCCCCCGGCCCCAGGGCTCTAATCCAAGAGCCCCTCGCCTCCTTGTACCGCACCCCCTTCCCCTTTCGGGGAATTAGTGGGAGAGGTGCAGTTCCCGGCGGGTAACCCCGCCAGTTGGCCTTCTGGTGTCGCCTTGGAGGAAGAGAACTCCATTCTTCCTCCTTATCCCCCCCTTCCTAAAAGGAGAGGGGGGATTTTTGGGGAGGTGGGCCCGACCCCAATCGGGTTCCCCAACTCCCCTTCGTCTGCTCCTGCCTGGCGGAGTTCGCAGGCAGGAGGCGCGCGGACTCACGTTTCATCTGGTGCAGGTGATGACCGAACACGGATGCTTCGGTCATTACCTGAACCGGATTAGGAAAGAGCACACCACCAGGTGCCATCACTGCCCGGAGCTGGACGACACAGTGCACCACACCCTGGCCGAATGCCCTGCATGGGACAGGGAGCGCGGTGTCCTGGCCCGGGCAGTGGGGTGCAGGGAGTCTGAACTCTCGTTCCCGCGCATGGCAAGGGCCATGTGCGGGAGCGAGGAGGTTTGGGGAGATGCGGCCTCCTTCTGCCGCAGCGTGCTGTCGCGGAAGGAGGCCGCCGAGTTGGAGCGTCGCCACGGAGACCGCCTCAGACAGCGTCGGGGAGGGCGGTGCTCCCCGGGGTAGAGCAACGGGCCCGAGGGGGCGACGGCCGAGGAGGTGGACAGGCCTCCGGTCCGTCGGAGGCCGCCTCCTCGGCCGCCTCGGACCCGATTTCGGACGCGGAAGGGAGAGGGTGAAGGGTGTGTTGACCCACCCGCTTCCCCCCTAGGTGTCGGGTAGGATAGGCAGAGGGGAGGAGTAGAAGCTCGGGTTTGGGACTGGGCACCACTCCCCATCCCCCCTCCTATGGAGGGGAGCAATGGGGAGTGCGGAGGGAGGGTGGATGCCCCCTCTCTCCAAGTAATCACCAGAAGGCCAACCCGGCTGGGAAACTAGTCGGGGGACAGCGTCCTGGACTTTCTCAGCGGGATAGGACGTGGTATTCGAGGCTGTGGGGCTCCGGAGAGCCCTGGGGCCGGGGTATCGGGGAGAGAATACGGTAGTAGTTCCCCTGACTCCCCCCACCACGGTCCGGTTGGTAGACATCCCGCAGGGGTTTTAGTCAGTAGGAGTCTGACATAACCCCCGACCCCCCAAAAGGGTCGGGGGTATCCATGATGGATTTCCCCTGCGTTACCAAAAAAAAAAAAAGGTGCCACACCGGTGAACTACCTCCTTCCATGGAACCCCCGCGTGGCGGCGCTCCGTACGGTGCCCGTATTGTTGGAGGTACGGGACCCCCGAAAGCGGCCTGGTCACCAGAGATGTTGGCCGGGGCGCGTGTAGGGGGCAGGAGGCCTATGCCGGCGATGATTATTCCGCCGGCCTGAGTCATATGTCACTCCTCAGGGAGAACTCAGAGGCATCCCCCTTTGAGGGGGGATGCGGGCATGCCCGGATGACGGAGCCGTACAGAGTTGTGGGTGTTAAACCAAAAATGATGACCTCGCAAACCCCTTATGATAATGATATATGAACAAGGACCTGGACGATAATATGACGACCCCGGCAAGTATGGAGAAGAAAGAGACATGTGCTGGACGAGGCGGTCCGCAATGATGCGCTCCAGCATCTTGCCCGCCTCGTCCAGCAGGCATATCGGCCTGTAGGCTAACGCACTACCGGACTCCTTGCCCTCCTTCGGGAGGAGGGTCAATTTGGCCCTCCTCCACTCTGGGGGGAAAACCCCATCCCTGAGGCATCCTATCATGAGCCTGCATGTGGCTGCGGACAGGTACCCTTTGGCCAACGCAAGAGCCCAGGCGCGGCCCGGAATCGCATCGTGGCCAGGGGCTTTGCCCTTGCCACCGAGCATTCTCCGAGCCTTGGCGAGCTCCTCTGGAGAGACCTCCAGCCCTTGTTTCAGTCTCCCTCCCCCATCTCTGGGGAAGGGATCACGGGGGGCCCCCTTCCGCCCTCGGAAAGAGGGCGTCCAGGAGCTCATCGAGGGCCTGGAGGTCTAACGTCTCCGTCTGCGGGGGCGCCCAAGGACGGATCTACCCCATCATCCTCTTGTATGGGCGCCCCCACGGATCGTCATCCAGGGAGCGCACCAATTGCTCCCAGGCTTACCGCTTGGCCTTTTTGATGGCTTTCTTGAGGACTACCCTGGCGGCAAGGTAGTCCTCTTTTGCCCTTGTGGCATCCCCGTTTCGTCGCTGGGCATGCGTATATGCTCTTCTGACGCGGTCGGAGTCACTGCGAAGTCTCGCTATTTCCTCCGATCACCAATACGCTGCCCGGCGCCGACGGGGGTGGGAACGGGGCATCGCGGCGTCACATGCCGACGCCACTATCCCCGTTATCTTCCCGGCCCCATCCAGGGGACCGGGGTCCCACTCACCTGGCTCTATGTGCCAGGTGGCCACAAGGACAGCAGCCCTGAACCTGTCCACATCTAGTCGACTACGGGCCCATGTTTTGGGGAGAGGAAAGTTCCTCTCCCCTGGGCGGCGAGCCGACACCTGCTTCGGTTTGGGGAGGCGGAGGGCCCAGACTATATGTGGTCAGATAACGTCTCACCCTCCGCCTCCACCCTCCATTCGGAGATCATCCTTGCATTTGAGAGGGAGGCCCAAGTCAAATCAATGACCAATGACCCCCCTCCCGGCCTTATGCAGGTATCGGTGGCCCCTCTCTTTACCTACAGAAGGTCCAATCCCGCCGCCCAGCAGATGACCACCTCGCCCCTGGGATCCCGCTGCCAGGGACTGCAACCCCACTCCTCAGAGTAAGCGTTAAAATCCCCGGCAATCATGACAGGTCGGGGATGGCACTTGCGTACCAGATCCCAGATCCTGTCTAGGATCCCTTTGATGCGGGCGGGGCGGCCAGTCTGGCTTTGTTTCTGTGTTGGGGGAGATATACCCCCACCACAGTTATGGGCCCCTAGTCGACCGCCACGTACGAGGTCCCCTTTTCCCTTAAAACACAGGGAGGGGTACCCGCTGCAGGGTCAGCCACCATGGCCACCGAGCCGTCCGGGCTGCCGAACCAGCATTCGCTGCTGATCGGCACCCAGTTCGGCTCTCTGGCCACCCCCAGCCCGGCGCCCAGTTCCCGGATCCTGTGTACCCACAGGTCCTGGGCCCGGGCGCCGCGGCCGAGGTTCGCCTGTATCATCCGGAGTGGCGTGCAGGCTAGGCCTCACACGCCTCCTCCGGGCTGTCTACCTTCGCCCCCTCTTGGGAGACCTCTGGCGGCTGGACCGCCTCAGTCTCTCCAGAGGGGGCTTCGGCCTTGGTGGCTATGACCTGTGTCTCTTCTTGCGCGGAGGGCGATTGCCTCTCTGGTGACCCTACCTGGACTTCTCCTTCCTCTGGAGGGTATGAGGGGGAGTCGTCTACGCCCACGAGGGGAGACAGGGGTGTATCACCCACTATCTCCCCTTCTGCTAGGGTGGTTAGGGGAGAGTCCACGGACTGCACCCGCCTTACCTTCGTCGTCTTGTCCTCCTCTGAAGATCCGCTGGTATTCTTCCGTTCGTCTCCTCTCCTTTTTCTCTGCGACAGCGGCTCGGTCTCCATTTGGACGGGTTGACGTCCTTTCCGGGAGTCCCCACTACACCAGAGAGGAGTCCCTCTCCTCGTAGTCACCTCCCGGAGCATCCTGGTCCCTCGTTGCAGAGGGGGCCGGACTAGCCTCCTTCGGCTGCTGGGTCCGGTCCACGGGATCATCCGGGGGGGGCCTCCCCCTTCTCGGCTCCTTCGGCCACGGTCGGCAGCACCCCCTCCGCCCTTTCCTTCTCTCGCGCCTTAACCCCCCTCCTCTTCCTGGCGGAGGAAGGTTTGCAGGCAGGCCCTCCGATCTTATGATCGGAGGGCCTGCCAGCCTCGGCGCAGACCGGGCAGCGAACCGCCCCTTGGCATCCTCTTGCGCGGTGGCCAGTGTTACTGCAGCGATAACACAATCCGCTGCGGTCGGTGGCGCTATCGCACCGCTCGCGCACATGCCCCGGTTCCAAAACCGGAAGCATAGCTTTGCACGAGCGGGCAGCGCCACCAAAGGTGTGTGGGGGTCCCAACGGGACCCCCCCAAACCTCCCCTCGGTGAGGAAGCGAGGACGACACTACCGCCCCCGCCCCCCAGGGGGCGGGTCTTCCCCCCAGGGTTCCCTCTCCTCCGCACCAAAATCGGATTCGGGGGTCTCACCCTAGGGGGAGGCTATCCCTCCTGGCGCGGTCAGCGGTGTTCCCACGAGGGGTCGACCCACCCCCGACCGCTCCTACCTGGCCCATGGGTCCCGGTGCGGAGGCCTCTAGCACTTCGAGGCCACTACCGCACCGGCAGATCCCATGGGCCTGGGGTGAAGGAGTGGGTGGGGAGAGCTACTCCTGCTCATTACTCCCCCACTCCTCCCACCCCACCTCCGCCAGGAGGGATGCAGAGGCCTCCACCTCCATCGATTCCGCCTCAGAGACCCCCCTCGGCCTAACCGCCGAGGGAGGGTCCGGCGCAGTATGAGCGGCCGTCGCTTCTCCCGCCCCTAGCCCTACGAGGTCAATTGGCGGCGGAGGCTGAATACGTTCAGCCTCCGTCACCCCCACCCCTGCCTCATCGGCCTTACTTGGGCCGGATGACGGTTCCCTGTCTCTATCCTTTTGCGGCCGTGCAGCCGGGAGGCTGCGGCCGAGCACTAGCCGCAGCCCACCCACACGCCGCCTTCTTCCTTCTCCTCTTCCTACGGGGAGGAGCCCCTCCTCTCGGAGCAGGCCTAGGGACCGCCTTACACGCGATGCCCCCCATCCGGTGGTCCGCCCTTTTCCCCTCATGGTTGCAAAGGGGGCACCGAACTGCCTCGGTGCACCCCTTTGCCACGTGACCGGCCCCTCCACACCTAAAGCAGTGACCCGCCAGACCGTAATCGATCTGGCAGGTTACCGCCATGTGTCCGTAACGTAGGTATCGGTAACAATGGAGGGGCCGGTCCTCCAGTACTCTCACACTTGCCCGTGCTCACCCTACGACTATCCTCCACGCTGTCAACAGCTTTTGGACCTTCCTGGCGGAGGCTAGGGCACCGCCAACGGGCCTAGTGCCCTAGTGCCAACGGGCACCGAACCCAAGCCGCCCCTAGCCCTCTAGACGATCTCCTAATCTCCCCAATCTGGAGATCGTCTGGAGGGCATCCCGAACTTTTCTGTATCGCGGCCCTTAGTAATATAGGGGTGACTGAGCCCTCCAGGCCTACGATGCGGAGCTCCTTTCTCGTCGGCCTGGAGACTACAGCCTCCCCGTGAAGAGCGTCCTGCAAAGCCCTGGCCAGGCGGTCGGCCTTGTCCCGTCCGCCCTAACCAGGGATCTCCAGCAACACCCCCCCCGTTCTTGGCACGTTTTATTTTAAACGCACCAGGCTCCAGGCCGATCTCCTGGAGATCGACCCGGAGCCTGGCCTTTGCCATCACTTCGTTGATGGAGGAACCCCCCGGCAACGCTGTAACCGTTACTACAGGGTTGCGCGGGGGGTTCCTCAACTGTGGTCTTTTTATCGGGGGAGGGGGTCCCTTCTTTGGAGTCCCCTTCCCCGCAACCTTTCCTACTTTGGTAGGGGGGGTGCCACCTTCTTTGTGGCACCCCCTCCCAGCGACTTGGGGGGTTCAACCTTCCCCTTTCCCCCCTTCCCTATTGCTTTCCCCTTGCGAGTGGACACGACCGTCCACTCGTCCTCCCTTCCCTCCCCAGTGACAACCGGTTGTCCCCCGGGTGGCTGGAAGGGGGCGGTCCTGCTGCCCGCAGCTGCTGCAGCTGGAGTGGGCAAAAGCCTCTCCAGCAGCCGCCCAATGCGGGCGATATCAGACTTGAGGCCCCGGACCTGAACTTCCAGGGCCCCAAGTCTTCCACCGGGGCCGCCCTCCTCCACCAACCTTTTATTGTTAGAGAGAGCATCCTGTATATTAAGGATGCTCTCTCTGAACCCCTCGTTAAGTGCTTTCATGGGCCTCCCATAGCACTTGGCTGCCCTTATAGAGGGATCTACCCGGAGAGTCCTCACATAGTCGATACCATCTAAGGCCTCCCCGAGCAGATCCTTCCCCCTTTCCGCCTCCCGTGCGGGTCTCCGTACGGGCGGGAGACCCCACTGGTGGCGTGCGTACCCTACCCCCAGAGCTCCGCCCTCCCGCACGTTTTGGAGAGGGGCCCCCCCAGCCGAGGGCTCTTCGTCCTCGACCGGGGGCAACTCCTCCCCTGGGAAGAGCTCCACCCATCTCTGCGTGGCAGATATTTCTACCCCACCCGCATGGGGAGCCGCACCTCCCCCCCCAGTGGGAACTATCGCCCCCGAGGGGAGGGAAGCGCGCCTCCTCCTCTTGCCACGGTGGCGAGGCAGATTCCTCTGCCTCGCGCCTCCTTTTCTTGGCACTTTTCGGCCCCACGAAGGCCGACGGTGGGTCAATCCGACCCACCCTCGGTCTCAGCAGGTCCGAAAGCGCCTCCCTTCGGGCGGTAACCATTTCGGGCGGCGCGCCCGCCTGGCACGCGCTGCCTGGCCCGTCGTATGATGACGACGGGGGAGTGCCGGGACCGTACGCCCCCTCCCGCCGTTCCCCGGCTCCGAGTATCGGGGCGTTCTTCTCCTTAGTCGTCATTTCTACCATAAATGCAGGGGTATTACGTCCCCCTGCAACACCGGTGTGATTTCGGGGTTTTCCTTCCCCTAGAACGGTTGCCTGCCAAGGCTAACGAGCCCGCTCTACCCGCGCTGTAGGGTCCTTTGGTCCCCACGAATGAGACCCTCCAGACCCTGGTTAAAACGTGGAGGCAGCTGCCCATCCAGGAGTATTATGGACGTTCTTCGTCTGGCCCCTCTGTACAGACCTCTCCGGCATGATAGAACCTGCCAGGGGTCGAAACCCCCTCCGGCGCAGCTCTGTACTTCATCGGGACACGCAAGCTCCCCCACCACGGCAAGGCGTCCACGGGGGAGGGTGAGACGTTATCTGACCACATATAGTCTGGGCCCTCCGCCTCCCCAAACCGAAGCAGGTGTCGGCTCGCCGCCCAGGGGAGAGGAACTTTCCTCTCCCCAAAACATGGGCCCGTAGTCGACTAGATGTGGACAGGTTCAGGGCTGCTGTCCTTGTGGCCACCTGGCACATAGAGCCAGGTGAGTGGGACCCCGGTCCCCTGGATGGGGCCGGGAAGATAACGGGGATAGTGGCGTCGGCATGTGACGCCGCGATGCCCCGTTCCCACCCCCGTCGGCGCCGGGCAGCGTATTGGTGATCGGAGGAAATAGCGAGACTTCGCAGTGACTCCGACCGCGTCAGAAGAGCATATACGCATGCCCAGCGACGAAACGGGGATGCCACAAGGGCAAAAGAGGACTACCTTGCCGCCAGGGTAGTCCTCAAGAAAGCCATCAAAAAGGCCAAGCGGTAAGCCTGGGAGCAATTGGTGCGCT